GACGACAAAAAAAAAAAAAAAAAAAAAAAAAAAAAAAACAAGTATTTTTTACAGCAGTTTCATGTTTTCATTTATGAGAAATGACTAATCTAGTCATAAAACAATCTAAAAAAACTGTAGCAATAAAATCACAGTAAACTTAACAGCAGTTTCAGCATTACAGTAAAACAGTTTACCTAAACTATAATAAATTATTTCTTATAATTTTTTTTCTACACTGCAACATCGGTGTATGAATCATTTTATGCAAACATTTTCTGCTTAAAATAAACCGCATAAAAGTTTGGTACGTTTGTAAAGCATTAAAAACTTAAAACATTAAACTGTAGACAGAAAAAAAAATTAAGATTTACAGGTGAATTTATTTTAACAAATTTAAAGAAGCTTTATGCATACCAAAATTACAGCGATTTGCAAACAGATTTCTTCGTGACTGAACACTGTAATACTTTAGTGAAAAAAGTTGATTCTTATTTTTTTTTGTATATAACTATATTTTTTTTCAACGGTTTATCAATGCAACAAAAAAATTGTAATAAATTTGTATTGTAACATAAAAGGTTTATAGTTTTTTGTAGAGTTTAAATAGATCGTTTGAAACAGTTTTACCAGTCATCGTTGGCAACATCTGACGTCTGATGTCATTCATTTGTGATCAAAATTACTTTATTTTTAAGTGCTTCAGTTAAAATATTCCAAAAAATTTCTTCCAATTTTTTTTTATTTATTTAAAAAAATTGTTTTATTAGATGTGCAAAACAAGACTTTTTTTTGCAAAAAAAAAAAAATTTTTTTTTCAAATTCTTGATGCAGTTTTTCTGTTACTAATAAAATTAACTGAAAAAAAAATGTAAAGCTTTAAAAATTATTTTTAATAGAAAATGTTTTTTTCTTTTTTAATAAGTGTTGTTTTAAAAAAAAAATTTACCAATGCTGACATAAAGCACTGATTTTTTAAATAATCTTTTATATAACCAATAAGCAGCAAAAATTTTGCAGCAAATTTTTAGGTATAAATGAAACTTCTTACGACTATTTCAACGACACTCCTTTTATTCCTCACGATTTTTATTATCTACTCAAATACCCAGCTTAGCGAATGTCCAGAGAACCTCAAAGAAAATTGCTCTGATGAACCAGAATATCAAATGTCCTGTACAAAGTACTTTGCAGACACGTAAGTTTTAAAAATATTAGCAAAAAGAATTGCACACCAAATTTTTAAATTTTTACACAAAACATTTTAAGTTTTTCAACTTATTAAAATACTTTTTTAACTTTTCTTTACAAAAAAAAAACTATTTTATTGGTGTTGCAACACTTTATAACGTGTGGCAAACGATGTTGTGAGAACAAAAACAAATTGATTAAGCTAATAAATAAGCTTCAGTGATTTACCTGCAAAATGTTCAAAATGCAAAAATTACCTGCAAAAAAATCTTTAGTGAAATTGGAAAATGCGCTGAGAACACTTCAGAACCATTTGCAATGCATTGCTTAAAAACCTGCAAAATGTGCTGTCATGACAAGAAATACGAATGCAATAACAGAGGTTACTTTTTGCTACTTTATTGTTATATAATTTACTAACTTTATATAAAGTTTAAAAAACAGTATTAGTATTGTTTCAGCAGACGATGACATCTGCGAAACACTAGCAACGATGGGAAAGTGTACTGAAACAGGATTAAATGTTAGCATCGGTATACGAGCTTGCCCAAGTTCTTGTAAGACTTGTGAAAAACTGAAATGTTATGATAAGGCTAGTATTAAAAGATGTTCCTCATTAAAGAAGTACTGTAAATCTCCTGAGTATCCCTATTTTGAGAAAGTGGTTCAGAATGAATGTCAGTCGACGTGTAACTTATGCAGCAGCTAATCTTTGTATCTTACTGAATTCTAACAGTTTTTCATAAATACCAGTTTTTTTAATGAAAAACCACGGCATTAATTGTTCAGAATGTCTACTGGTCAGA